TCTTGGACGGGCATTTACAAATGAGCTGCAGATTGTTGTCTTGCATATGTTCACTTTCAATCTATGTCGCCGATACCAGCTTCAAACGACATGCTGTTCTAAGTTGAACTTATAACGTCAGTTACTATTTCTCACATGACGTACTCAACCCAGACTACGTCAAGCCTTGTTCACTCGAAAATAAGGCAAAACTATACGTCTGCCTTTTATGCGAGTTGAAATCTACTCTTGTTCTGCATGCGTACGAGGATGATTAGAGTTGAGTAAGTACACACAGCCATGTAGGATAAGGCAAATACATCACGGCCAACGTTTAAAAATGCATGGTAAATGTGTAACGAGGCACCGACGACTACGTACTGGTTAACCAGTACGGAGTTAACTTTCACTCACAACAGTGAAGGTCAGTGTCCATCTAGGTGCAGAACTACACAGATGAAGATAGGAACGACCAAGGTGAAGACTCTAGTTGTGGTAAAATCAAAACTGTTATTTAATACAATTAAGTCCTATAACTCTTGTTTCTCTTGTTCGTCTTGACTTAGTTATATTAATCTAACTAAACGTATGATGAAGTCGACTCACCACCCATTGCGCGCGTCTAGCAGCGATTGGTAGGCTGATATCGTCTCAATATCAACATATGAGTAACCCCTTCGGTCATCCCAACAATATCACTAGACTTACTGACACTGTCAAAAGAATTTTCAACGTAATATTCTTCATTGTCATTTTTTCGAATGACAATGTCATGAAACGGGTTATCCCTTTACAAAAGGGACTTGTGAATAAATGCATGATTGTTTTAGCCCGTCGCAACGGGTACCGTCAGTGACCGTGCTGCAGCCTTTGCCACTACCACATTTTGTCTATGCATCGAACATATTAAACGATAGCACATAATACCCTACGACTGCTCTATATACCAGAATTCACTAGTGTACCTCTAGCACCCGGCTGGATAGGAGATAGAACTCATCTATACAACCCATAGTTCAAGCTTTGGCTTGTGCCAAATCCGGACGTCTTCGTTGCTGCCACATGCTTGATAAACGTTACAGGGTGCTGCTGCCTGGACGCGAGTAACATATACAAAAACAGTGTGCCACGAGGAACATCCTTTATACTGTTGTGTGTGTCAATCGTTTTGCGTGAGCAGAAATCTGGTGAAAGCGGGGTTTCTATATTGCTGTGGTAAAGCGACCATGGAAATTCGCTGTAGGGGAACTGATCGCATTCCCGTTATGTCCGAGCCAGTTAACGGTTGGCGGCCCGGTCCCACATCTGGTCAGATCGCGTTCATTGGACAGTCAGACCAAAATGGATATCAGATCGGGCAGGTTGGGACCTGCGATCTTGGGTCAAGGTTTGAGACGGAAAGTAATGTTGGCGATCAGTCGATCAAGAAGGGAACCGCGATCAGCAAGGCAATCGCGATCAAGGAAGCGATCGAGATCGTGATTAGTGATCGAGATCGTGATCAGTGATCAGGTATGCGACCGAGGTCAAGTATGTGATCGAGATCAAGTTGGTGTGGAGCACACCATGTGATCCGCGATCAGCAAGGCGATCGCGATCAGGAGGCGATGGGATCGTGATCTATGATCAGGTATGTGATCGCGATCAGACAAGTATATCAGGTGTGAGCCACGCAAGTACAACATCGCTACCGTCTAGAGAGAGCGACATGCGGCAAACGATGTCCAAGACATGAGGACAAGGATAGGGTTGTTGGATTTGATTGGTCAACATTAAACAGAGTTCAATTTGCTTCAAAGTACACGTGTCGACTTCTCCTCCGGGTGGAGTATTGGCCACTCGACGTCAAAGAAAGGTTTAAATACTTTAATCAAGTGATATCCCTGGATTGTTTGGCCTGGGATCAAGATCTCTCAAACAACATCCCAACTGCGACTGGACGCAGGAAACAGTTTTTGGTTGAGGACCCAAGATCGCGAGACGGCTCAAATGGTCATAAGGCTCGCAAATCAAGGTCTACATTTGGACAAAGCGATCTGTTACAGATCAGGGTGACTCATATCGAGCACCCCACAAGCATACAAGTGATCGCGTGACGAATTACACGTGATCACACCAACCTTGATCGTGGTGTGAAGATTTTCGCACCGTGATCGAACCTCGGCCCCATCGCAAACACGGTCAGCTTTTCCTTCGACACGAGTCCACCTGGAAGAGTGCAATCCGCCCCACCGACGGGTACACAAGGTGAGGAAGGCAATCAAGAACACGGAATCGGAGTACCCCCTCCGTTAGTCGGTCGTCCGGGCGCCAGTGGAGAGTTGGGATCGACTCCTCAAAAGAGAGATAGCCACTCCACCACATTGCATTATAGGATAATAGTGATACCACAAGTTATATTATAGATAACCATCTATACCATTATCACCAGCATGTATACGCAACTCATAGCTCCAAAACGTATCCACATTGTATTTTGAACCTCTTCAAGCAAATGTGTACATAGATACAGTCCTTCCTACGTATATCGGACCAAATTGTGTGGCGTTTTTCCTCGTTCCTTAGATAAAACACTCTTATATGAAGGTCAATCTGAACCCGCTCTAAGAAATGCATCCATGGTACACTAAGTCTTTCGCATCGAGCACTGATGCCTAACGTGCTCGGCGATACTTTCCAGCTTCTTCGTCAACTCGTCACTGCCATGCTGTAGTGGAAGAAATGATGACAGACGGATACGACAGTCTAGAGCCTCGGATGGCCCAATCCTTACTTAATCGGCACTGTCACCATCATTGCCGTTCTCAATCGCCTCATGCTCTAGCACATCTGGGTCGCACTCGATCGGATCGTCGTCATCCGCACTGATGAAATTGACGACATTGACGCTGCAAGTCAAACCTTCCATGAGCTTGTTCAGCTTGTCCTCAACAGATCCATCGATGAGTTTGTTGTAGTCGCGTAGTTGGGTGAGATCGGCCATCGCTACCGCCCCCACGATAGCACACTTTCTCCAGCAGTTGCGAATCACTTTCTCGGGTATCTCCTCCTAGCTTGATATAGCGAAGCGCACAGCCTGCAGGATATTCAACTATCGGACGATTATGGTGTAGATTGCATCCAGGAGCAATCGAACAAATTTCTTTCGATACCGCACTTTGAATGTCCGTATAATTCCTATCAGAAACAAAAACACGTGATTAATTGCTGGTAAAGAGAACATTGATTATTCAAACTTACCTGCGCCGAGCCATTGCACGTGAGCTTTCATATTTGGCAGCAGGAATATTAGCTTGACATTGTAGCATTTAGCGGAGCCATAGTGACACCACGCGTTGTCCAGTAGGAGAAGCACTCGCCTCCCGTACATATTGGCATCGAAATGCCGGAGCCACTCAGCAAATGTTGACCCGTTTTGCCATGCATTCTGGTTGTTGAAGTACAAAAACTTCATTTGCTTGGTGTTGGCTTTGCAAAATGCTCGTGGTTGCTTCGACTTGCCTATGACAATGAGATCCATATTCTAGGTTCCGATCACGTTGCAGCACATTGCGACTGTGATACGATCCTTCTTTGACTTCTTTCCGTTGCTCTCGACCGTTGACAGTGTCTTGTTTGGAGGTAGGCGATGAATGAGAGCTGATTCGTCAAAATTTAATACATCTCGTAGTGAATATTGTCCAATCAGCTCTTTAATCTCCGTTTGATTCACTGCGAGTTGAGCGCGATCAACTGATTTTGCCTCGCCGTGAAGCACATGCTGCTGGATGCCGTGTCGAGTTTTAAATTTTTGCAGCCACCCATTCGGGAGCCGCAGGTCGTTCTCGCTTATCCCTTGAGCGGCTCGGATTGAGCGACCTTCTTCTACTAGTAGATCGTCCGTGAGAATCGCTTTGCCGTCATTGAGACGGTAGAACGCGAAGAACGCAGCCTCAAACGCTGGAACCAGCACCTTTCGATTGCGCTTCCTGCCCATGGCAAGGAACGCGTTGGCTGGTGCCTGAAGAATCCGTTCTGCTGCCGTTGTGAAGATCCGAAGGCTGAGCTTCTCCCTGACCCAGTTTTGTATTTGGAATAGTCTTATGCCTGGTGTGCGTGTGATGTGCACCCGCACCTGACGCTTTTGCTCCATCGTCAGAATCGTTCGCTTTGACGACATGTTTCAGGTGGAACGAAAGCAAATGTGCGAAGTGGCAGGCAAGGCGAGATTGTTGGTAAGCCCAATATAGGGGTGAACTAGTGGTTACTGCGCGTTGTTTTAGTACCCTATTTCGTTAGTCTCTTATATCGAGTCAGCATACTAAACCAAAGTGACGCAGCTTTGTGGGGGACACGAAGATCCTCAAACAGGAATTTAACCCTCTAGAGAGGTTCTTATATGGAGGGACGACTGGACTTAGTATGCTCCGCGCTATTCGATCTGCTCCAACCGGTATAGCTCCTTATCACTCGTTCCTAATGCCAATTCGCTACGAGACAACATCGTTTCTGGCTTTCGTATGGGAATCACGCCGCATTGGTAAAGCTCAGCTGCACAAGTAAGACGACGTGATTGCGCGACATGCCAAACTTGAGAGTCCTAGCCGGACACTTGTCTAGCTACGAACATCAAGATGGAGAACAAGCAGGTAAACTGCGAGCGAGATAGGAGAGCATTACGGATTGCGCTGTGCCTGACAAACAACGAGGAGCACGACAGAACGAGGAAAACCTGATTGTCTTCGTGTACCACCATGAAAAGGCATACCGAGACGAGTGCTCATCAGCGCCGAGCACAATCGTTGCATGATCTGTCATGCCGTCGGGTGTGTACCTGCTCGTCATGTTCGTCCGCACGATCGAAAACATGCGTTTATGCAGTTGCTCAGATGCACACATTCAGCAGGTGACGACTGCCTACACCGGCCACATTTTGCGTAGTAGGTATCGACCGTCACGGTATGTGTGTTGCACGGGATCGACGCTACGCTCACGTTCGAGCTCTTTCTCCAACGTGCGTCACGAGACGCAACAGACTGCGATTAACGTCGTATCAAGTGGATGATCCGGTCCAGGACGGCCTCTGTCTGAGTCAGGTACTGCTCGAGTGGTGGACGACTTCTTCGAGCAGTTGCAGTGCCGCGTATGTTGCGGTTCGGGATCAGGTGCTGCTCATGCTGCTGCTGCAGGTGGTGCTGCTGGGCGTACTGAGTCCGTTTGTGGGACAAGTAGTGCCGCAGGTAGTAGAGTCGCTGCGTCGTTTGGCTCCAAAATGGGCCGACGCGCATGTTTGGTTGGACTGCCGCTTGGAGCAGCAGTAGGGTATCCCACAGCGCAGAGGCGGCAGCTGTGAACACGCGCCAACTCGGAGCCTGGTTGGGTTTTAACTCGCCACTGAAGACGAGCAGCACCTCGCCAAGCAATCCAACGAGCTGCATGTCCAGAGTGCTTCGAGCTTCGGATCGAACACAAGTGGCTCGCGCGTGGCGATCGTTGAGCTGGACTTGCGGCATCGAGAGCCGAAACTTGGCCAAGTTGCTCAGCGTCACGAGCAGGTTCTGCACGGTGACCAGGTCCGCGACGCGGGTGCTCATTCGCACAATGACGTTGTAGATGAGCGCAGCAGCAGGGACGTTGAGGCATCGCGCGCACGAATCGGCTGACTTGAGGGTCTTCCCCGCGAGGATCGCACTCGCTTTCGGGATCGCGTCGAGATCCATGCGACGGAGTATGGCCAGCGCATTCTCCAGCATTACGTCCGGGCGAAGGGACATGCGAGACGCAGCGCTCATGCCGACACCATCGTCCGTCAAAGTCGACATCCGAGTTGCAGTTGAAGCTCCAGTGGCGGATTGGTGTGCTTCTCGACGGAGCTCCCGTTCCCGAGTTGTTCGCTTCGCTCGAGTGTCTTGCAGCACGCGAAGATACGGCGGAGGAGGTGTCTTCTGTCTCCCTTGTTCACGCTTTAACTCGACGGCGTTCATCTTCTTGACACGTGCTGCAACGTGCTCTCGCTTCTCAGTAGCTTTCCAGGACGACGACGGACCCCAAAGAGACTGAGGAAACGAGCGTCGTGCACTTGCGACGGTCAATCCGTTGTCGGCCGTCACCCGTTCGTAGCGACTGATGAGCATTGCCACTCTCCCGGCATCAACGTCGCTGGTGCTCGTCAAGGCCGCACCTCTGTCCTCACGGATGGCGTTGAGGCGGCCAGTGCTTCGACTGCCAATCGTCGCACGTGGACTGCTGCAGGTCGGTGCGGCAGGCAGCGACTTCAATGGATCTGCACGGGCTGCAGTCTTCCAGTGGCCGTACGTTCCTCGCCAGCAGAAGCCCTTCGCAGCCTCAATGGCCGCTTCGGTCTTGGAACAACCGCGAGGTGCGTGGCGTTCACCCGTCTTGTGCTTGGCCTGCGTCGCATGTGAGGCTTCTGGCCGCGTGCTGTCTGCAAGAAGCACATCTGGTCAACAAACATAGTGTGAATGAATGAGTGAGTGAGATGGCCATCTACGTCGTTGTCGTCGTCTTACGTGCACGCGTCTCCATCGGTCCCAACGTGTCGGCGCTCGATCGGAAGCTGTTGGTATCTGTGCGACGCAGTGCTCTGCGATGTCAAGTGGAAAAGACAGCAGTCGGACAGGTCCCAAGCGGCGAAAAGTGCACCTCGAAAGGGACGACAGGCAGCGCATCGACAAACAGAGCTCGACCGTCTCACTCTATTGCTGTCGAAGGGTTTGAGCTCGAGCACTTGTCACTAGCCGACGACAGTTCGCGTCAAGGAGGTGTGTGTGTGTGTTGTTGTTGTGGTGGTGGTGTGCATGTCAGTGGGTACATCCAATGCTCAACTTGAAGAGCTCTGATACTTTTATCGTCAGGAGGTCCCCACTTGTCCCCTGTGGCAGCACGTCCGAAAGATCAAAAGGAGACGAGCCACCCGAACGCATTGAGACAAACTCAGCTCAGCTCAGCTCAGCTCAGCTGTCGCTTGCGTTCCACAGTCGCGAGCGAAACTTTTCTGACAGTCCATTGGCAGTCCATCGACCGTCTCGTACCCGTTCGCTGTCGTCGCTCTCTTTCGGTGTATACGTTTTGTATACGTCTTTGGTCGGCCATGACGCTGTTGTTCGCAGAAGGGTCGACGACCACTGCGCTGTCGGACGAGCGGCTGCGAACGATTGTGCACGAGACGCTGCAGCAGCTCGAGACGACACGCGGGGCCACTTTCGAGCGCGTCGCGATTGTGCCGCCGGACTTCACGCGCTTCCACTCGTACGTGGACAACACTGCAGCCAAAAGGAGACGCAGAGAGAGAGAGAGAGAGAGAGAGAGAGAGAGAGAGAGAGAGAGAGAGAGACTGTGTGTTGACTGTGTCTGCGTCTCTTGTGCTGTAGCAAGTCGGGCGTCTTGTCGCAGTGTGCGTACGAGTACCTACAGGACCGAGTGACGGACGTGTTGCCTGCGCTGGGCACACACGACGCGATGACAGACGTGGAGGTCGCGAAAGTGAGTGCCGGCGTACTCGGAGCTGTGTATCGACTGCAGTGAGTCAATGAGGTGCGGACTGATGCCACTGTGTGTGTCTGTGTGTGGTGAGTTGGCAGATGTTTGGCGATATGCCGAAGGACATCTTTCGAGTGCACGACTGGAGGTGCAGTGGTTAACGACAATGACGACGACAATATTTGCAGTAGCTCCTGACGTGTCGCGTGTCTTCTCTTCTTGTGCTGGCGCAGAAACGACGTGGTGACCATCGGCCACGTCCCGGCGGAGCTTATTCTGGAGGCGAGCGATGGCAAAGTGAATGAGCCGTGGCCGGCGCAGGTCAACAAACTGGTACGTCGATCGTTTCTGGTTCGGTGCTTGAAGGCGCGAAGTATGTACTGATCAGTTGCGATGGGGCCCACCTGCGACGCTATAGCTGTGGGAAGGCGACCATGACTTGGTGCTCTCGATCGGCCAAGTGGTGCCTCACGAGGTCATGGGGATGGCCAACTTCAACAAAAACATCTTTGTCGGCACGGGCGGTAGCGAAGGTATCAACTTTTCGCACTTCATCGGCGCGGTCTACGGCATGGAGCGCATGATGGGGCGTGCGGACAACCCACTGCGCCGTATCCTGAACTACGCCTCCACCAACTTCCTGCAGAAGCTGCCCCTGATCTACATCCAGACAGTGATCGGACGCGGGTACGTTGGCTGCTCGTCCGCTGCTGTTGCTGTTGCTGAAGCAGAACTGACTCGCACTTGTGTTGTCACTGCAGAGCGAACGGAGATCTCGTGACACGCGGCGTTTTTATCGGGGATGACGAAGAGTGCTTTCTGAAAGCGGCCGAGCTGTCACTGGAGGTGAACTTTGAGCTTCTGGATGCACCACTGGACAAGGTGGTGGTGTACTTGGATCCGGAGGAGTTCAAGTCCACCTGGCTCGGTAACAAGTCCATCTATCGAACGCGCATGGCCATCGCAGACGACGGCGAACTGATCGTGCTTGCACCCGGCGTGGCTCGCTTCGGCGAAGACAAGCGCATTGACGAGCTCATCCGCAAATATGGCTACCGTACCACGCCGGTACGGCACACTTCTTCTTCTTGCTCTTCTTGTATCGGCGCTCACGTGCAATGCGTTACTGACTTACTTGCTCGTGTCTGTAGGAAGTGCTTGCCCATCTTAACGCCAACCGCGACCTCATGAAAAACCTGAGTGCTGTTGCACACCTGATCCACGGCTCGTCCGAAGGCCGTTTCCGCATCACGTATTGCCCTGGGCATCTCACGAAAGAAGAGGTCGAAGCTGTTGGCTTTGGCTATGGCGACCTAAAGACACTCAGTGCCAAGTACCCGGTCGACAAGCTCCAAGACGGCTGGAACGTAGACGCCGATGGCGAGCGATTCTTCTACATCTCCAATCCCGCACTGGGCTTGTGGGCGTACCGCGGACGTTTCGAAAGCTCTTCAGTGTCCAGTACTACATCCACTGCTGCAGCTGCCGCAGTGACGGGTCTTTCTGCTGCTGTGGACACGACGGAGGCCTGCCTCGATGCTGGCGTGGGAGGTGGCCCCTTCAAGCACACGTAAAGCCAAGCAGCCGTCTGCTCGCAGTAACAGTCGGGAGGCAGTCAGCCTCAGCTGGCTTTGAGAACGAGCTCGTTTCCCAATCGACCTAGTTAGTGCCAAAGACCACGTAAGCTCCAACCACATGCACCTCACAAAACTAGTCGCAAAGATGCAATCGAAGATCGACTTCAGTGTTGATTTGCTCCCTCCCTTCCGCTACAAACCTTCTCATCCTTCTACAGTCACAGACAGCTCGACCTATCGAAGTGTACTGCATACCACGTCAACATCCACATCTCTCCCCCGTTTTCACCCGCAACCTTTCTTGATCCAAAGTCGAGTGCAAGCGCCTCTCGCTTCTCGCTGTCACCACACCAACTCGCTGCCCGCCACCTTACTGCTCGGCCTGCGCCTTGTGGTAGCCCTTGTGCTGTCTCCAGCAGTGCTCCAGCGCAGCCTGTTCCTTGCGCGTCTCGTCGATCCGGTGCCAGCTCTGCTTCAGCGCCTTCTTGTAAGCGGCAAACGTCTCTCCACAATGGGTCTCCACCTCACGAAGGCTACGCGTCCCCCACATCAGCAACAACAACAACAACAACACACACCGTCAGCGTGTGCTATCCACCCCATACAAAAGCCAAGTCACCAGCCCCCGAATCCACAGCGCAGCACGCCACGCACGTCTTGAGCACCGCCGCCGTGACCTTTTCCCCCTGCACGAGACACGCGCGCGGGTCCGCGTCGCGCTGTTTGCAGCGCATGAACGCCAGATTGGCGTCGGCGCATTCGTGCGCGAGGATGCGCGCGGCGCACGTGAGGCTCGTGTTGTCCGTGGCCGGCAACTGGGCGGTCTGGCTCATGGTCCGCTCGATGATCGATCGCTCCCGTCGTCTGAGGCACGAGCGCTCCAATGAGCGGCTCCGCTGGTAGTTGTGTGCGCCACATGAATTCGAGACGGTCGTGTGTGGTCCACGTCAACTTCTCACGTCATGGCCTCGACACGGACGCAAAAACGACCCTGCAGTATCTCATCGTCCCGATCGCGCTACTTTAGAACCACCACCACCACCACCACCAACAAAAGTGACCTGCTACTTCAGACTGCCCAGGATCGGTACATTGCGTCTAGTGCTGCTGCTCAAAGTCCCACTGCTGACGGACACTCGCATCGCCCTGTTCGTTCAGTCGCTCTTCGGCCTCGAGCACCTTCTCCAGCTCTACGCGCTTCAAGTGGGGCTGGGCACGCTCCTTGTCGCTGTCCTGTAATGTTCAATGTAATGTTCAGGTACATGATGATGGACGGCAGTAACTCAGGTTAGACACGATCTTGTGCAGCCACTACAATGAGAGACCAAAGCGCACGCCGTACCAGCTCGCCGACGAGGACAATGTTATCGCCACTTGGGTTTCGTACCATCAACGCCCGGGAAGTGCGAGAGGAAGCACCACGTTACGTCACATCATTCGAGACACAGTTGTTGTTGCAGTTATTAGTCTCGAACGTCACTCCTTTGCAAATACATATACGTCTGTCTGGAATCGACTAGTACCGTACCGGATGATATTGAGGCCCAGTTCAATGTCGCAGAAGAGGCCGTCGGCCACGTGCCGCTCGAATGTGTCTTCGAGGATAATGTTTGCTGATGTAGAGCAACAATAGCAAGCGATATAGCAGCCGTTACGGCAACAAAAGTAGACACAATGTTAGCAAAGCGACGGGTGGTCAGTGGTAGAGATTAGTGCAATTGTTGTTATTGTTGTTGTTTGCTGCTGCTTTTCAGAGCTCACAGAGCGTCAAGTAGAGAGCAACGTACAGTACTGATCAAAGCTCCGCAGGTACCCGACGAGGTGGCGGCCGTCACGCAGGACCATCAACACTTGCTCTATAGTCGGAACAAAGATACATATACAGAAAATAACACAAGGTATTAAAAACAATTCGACAGCACCACGTCCGCAAGTCAGTCAATGGTCGTGTACAATCCGACGCTTTGCCCGCTCCCTTTTCTTCCCTTTGCCACAGCAGCGGGTCACTACAACAAGGAACACAGCAGTCGTTTACGTACTATCGAGTTGCTGGAAGAGACTGCTGTTGCCTGGAAAGACACCGTTCATGACGCTGGTTTTGTTTTTTTCGGGGTGGATGCGTTTGTGTGTGTGTGTTTTAGTCCTCTTTTTTGTTTCGTTCGATTCCAAAGTAACACTACCAACAACAACAACAGCGTGCTGTGTTGTGGCAAAAGGGGCGACGCTCACCGCGCTCATTGGCTGGAAAGAGCTCGGCACCCACATGGATTTCGACCAGTCACACGCAAGTCGCCATTTGCGGTGCTCCATCGCGTCCCACTTGCTCGAACATGTTCGCCTCGCGCGTGCTCCGGATGGCTGTGACGAAGACGTCGACGGGCCTCGTCGGTCTCAGCGTGAACCCCAATGCGCGTCAAGACCTCGTTAAGCTCTACCGCCGGACGCTGGACGAGCTCAAGGTACGCCTCGTCACGATCGTGCAGTGTCTTTGTCTGTCTGTAAGAGCTCATTGATCACTTCCCTTATATTAACTACTACTACTAATACTACTACTACTGTTGCTACTTTTGCTATTGCTACTGCTGTTGCTATTGCTACAGATTCTTCCACCAGAGGCCAAGAACTACCGCAATGCCGTCGAGCAGATCACGAACTTTCGACTGAACGTCGTGGAGACGAACGACGATGTGAGCGAGTGCTACTTTGTAGATGTGGAGATGGAGACGCACTGGAGAGGAGAGGGCAGAGGCTGATGCACTGGTGTTGCTCGTACTGTAGGAGAACGTCATTGAGCGTACGATCAATTGCGGCCAACTAGAGGAGCTGATCGAGCAGGCAGAAGACGAGCTGAGTGTCATTCCCGTGTACATTGGTGCGTTGCTCAGTGCGTTGAGTCCTGGAGAAGAAGGTGAACTAACGTGACTCGGTGCGTGTGTTGCAGAGCACAAGCTATGGGAGAGCCCGATAGAGGCTGCCAAGTAAGTGTAGCGACTCGGGTTTGGAGATTGTCACCGTGCAAAGGGACATGACCGACTCTACTACACAGCGAGCGATCACAACAGCTCGCGACAAAAAGACAATCAGAAGTGACCGATGGCTGAAAGATGCGTTCATGTGTTGGTCTACTAGTGCACGAAGCTTAGTTGCGGATCTTGCGACTGCGCGAGAGATTTGACTTGATACCCGTGGTCTCGCCGCCGTACTTGCCAGCCTCGCCCACGCGCACGTCGCGCACTTGACCCTTTCTTCGAATGACAGCCTTGCGGTACTGCATGCGCTTCTTCACACGCGGGTTGCGGTTAAGTTTGCTCTTGTGAGCCTTCAGGCCCTTGTTCTTCATGATCTGGTACGACGCGCCACGCTTGCCTGTCTCTCCGCTTTCCTCATCGCTGGACGCCAGAGCAGGAGTTTCGTGCGTGTATAGGTCCTTCTTCGCCTTCTTGAGTGCTGCCTGATCACGGGCGGTCTCCTCATAGAAACGCTCGGCTTCTGCCAGCTCTTCGGCTGACACCTTTGCCGACATCTTCTGCTTCTTTGTCTTCTTCGCTGCCGCTTTGCAGGAGTCCGAGCTGCGTTTGCGGTCCGACTTGGTGAAAAACTGTCCAAGGCCGTCGTCAGTCACTGCCTTGGGCTCAGTTGGTAGCTCCTTGGTGAGCAAATCCTGCAACTGGTCGTTCAAGACCTCATCGATCGTCCGGAGTTTGTTCAGCTGTTTCTTGAGTAGCAACAAGTGCATCAGCACCGGGTGGTCCGACACGCTCTTGCCTTCCGCCCGCGATAGCAAGTAAAACGAGATATTCGCCGAGTAGTTCAGCAGCAAGTTCTGGCGGGTCATCAAGTAGCGCAGACCCATCTGCAGCTGACGCGATTTCCGCCGCACAGGTCGCAGCTTGAGCACAGCCGGTGTCACCACCTCGGCCAGCTCTCTTGTTGTCGAGCCGAGCTCGGATACAAGGCCCAGCAGTTCTGGCGCCGACTGGTTGACAATCTGCAGCTTGTCCTTCTTCGACATCTTGGAGAAATCCTTGTGTACCTGTTCCACGGTCTCCGCACCGCCAACGCCATTGTCAGCGAGCGTTGCGATATCCGCCAACTGCTCGCTCACGAGCTCCTCATCGTCCACAGTTGTCTCCACGTTCGCCACCTCTTGTTCCTCCTCCTCCTCCTCTCCTTCTTCTTCTTCTTCGCCATCGGTTTCCGGTGCGTCGATCCCAAAGTCCTCGTCGCCCAGGAGCTCCGCCTGCTTCCGCTGCAGCTCCAGCGCAGCTTCTTCTTCGTCTTTAGCCACCTCTTCGTCCGACTCGATCTCGTACTCGGCCGTATCTGCAGAGTAAAACGTCTTGCGCGACTTGCCCCACTTGCTCTCCATCTGCATCGCCGTCTTGCGCTCGGCCGCAGCATCATACAACAGACCCTTCTCCATGTCCTCTTCTTCTTCTTCTTCCTCCTCTCCGTCTTCTTCTTCGTCTTCTTCGTCTTCTCCTTCGCCCAGTTCCAGCACCTCCTGCCCCGCCAGTTCGTCCTCCTCCGACTCCACCGGCTCACTGTCGCTCTCGTTCGCGGACGGGTCGTCATAGAACGTCAGCTCGGCGTCCTGATGCGCCTTCTGCGCCGCGTGCATCTGCTGCTTGCGCAGGCGCACCTCTGCGCCGCCGTCGCCCGTGCGACTCGTGTGTCGCGCCCGGCGTCCCATTGCGTACCCCACGCGTACCCCGTATTTGACTGGCCCGCAGTAAACTTAATCGACCAGCGATCGGTAAGTACGGTCGGGTTGACCCCACACGTACTTACCGATCGTTCCTCTCTCTCTCTCATCGATTTCATCCGGTTACGGGAGTGTACCCATTTACGAGACCACTCGACGAACACAAAACCACATGCGGGCCGCCGGAACGCGAACTGCTGCGGCGGCGCGAGCGCTCTCTTCCTACAGCCAGCGCCCTGGCATCGCGCGCACATTCGCCCAGCGACTAGACGTGGCGTCGCGTGCGTGGCAGCAAAAGTGGGTGCAGGTGCTCCTCGCACCGGCCGCTACGAGGAGCTGTGCATCGACCCGCCAGTTGCCAGTGCAAGCCGAACCGAAGCATAAGTTCGCATGGGCCGTAACGGATATGGCGCCACCGTCGCCCGGTCGCGGGATCATTGGCCGGTCGGCGAACGTCGACGTGACCAAGTCGGAGAACCCTATCAAGCGCTGGCATTGGCTCTGGAAGCTGCTCGGGTTTCTCAACGAGGACGACCAGTTGTTCCGGCACTCGAGTGCTGTGTTCCAGAGCTGCATGAACGCCACAGCGAGGCCCGAGTACTATCAGGCACTGGGGATCGGGCGCTCGTTTCGGTCGCAACAGGCGCTGCTGATGGTGCACGTGTGGCTCGTGCACCGTCGCTTGGCGCTGGAAGGCGAGCAGGGGAAAGTCATGCAGGAGCTCATGTTTGATCGGTTGTGGGAGGAAACCGTCGTGCGCATTCGCTACTATGGCATCTCGGAGCTGGCGGTGAACAAGCACTTGGCAGAGGTGCAGCAAGTGTGCTTTAATGCTTGCGTTGCGTACGACAAGGGCTTGACGGACGGGCCGAACGTGTTGCAGACGGCGGTGGCCCAGCATTTGCTGGAGAATGAGACGACAGAAGGGTTGCGGATTGCCAGCATCATGGCAATCCACATGAAGCGTGAGCTCAAGCACCTCGAGAAGGTGGATGCCAAGTACATTGTAGAGGGCACGATTCCGTGGAGCTCGTTTCCAGCGACTTCCCTGTCTGCAGCCAACAAGTCCGGCATGGACGACGACGACGACGATGACGATGTGGTGCTCATCGGGCAGCGGTTTGGCAATTGGCGTTCAGCATTGGACAACCGCGGGCGACTCTACTACTGGAACCTCACCACGCGGTACTCTGTCTGGGATCGTCCCACGGGCGACAAACTACACGAAGGGAGTAATGAGCACACGTCGTCTTGATTGTTCACTCGTGTGTCTATCAAAAGAGCCACAGCATCCGTGGCAGCACGTACGTCTTCGATTGGTAACGCGAGTGCAGCAATACATGGCACAGGGCGCTGCTAACACAGACCTGTTCCGAGCAATGTCTCGACGACCGTTCTATGGCGTTGCATGGTACCTCTTCTTCGTTTTTCGCAGTGCCAAAGGCGTTTGTTGCCAACCAGTCGACTGCTTAATGGGCGCTGTCGCGCTCGTGCTCGCGTCGCTCCTGCATCTTCTGCTTCACGTAGGCGTCCGATGCCTTGGCCCGTCTGAAGTTCTCATCACGCACGCGCGCCTTTTCGCGCTTGAAGCACCAGTCGAGTGCCGTCTTTAGCTCTCCGCACGCACCAACGAACTTTGCGTACGGGTACTTTTCGTGGCACACGAGCAGCGCTTTGATCTCCTGTGCGGCCCGCACACGCAGCAGCAAACGAGCACGAGGAACAGCAAAACAACAGCAACAACAACACAGCAGCCATAACAAGTTGTTGTCAAGTGGCGGATCACGTGTGTGCCATAGCTGTGGTACGAACAGCAACAACAACAACAACAACAGCAACAACAACACAGAGAAGAAGAAGAAGAAGAAGAAGCAGATACAGAATCAGAGCAGCGCGCAGGCGGGCGAACGTACGGCCTGGCAGTCCGGATGCGGGCGGTCCAGTGGCGGGTGCATGCTGCGGTTGCGCCCGTTTCGATGCGGAGGATCAGACGTCGCGTATCGCAAGATGACATTTCGGTCGAGTTATGTACCTTGTTTTGCAACTTGGACGACTGACTGCCTTGCGCTAGTTGTGTGGTCCACACTCGTCCACACCACCGACACCGCAGACGTAGCCATCGCTCGATTCCTTCGGACACTCGTTTGTACCCACAGCAGCAGGAGCACAACCGGAAGAGCGATGGACGGCGCCAACTTTACCCCTCAGCAAAAGGCCGAACTTGTCAACCGAGTACGTCTGTGTGGCTGTGGAGCTGTGTGCATTGCTACTCACTCGTCTATTGGTGTCGCTCTCGTCTTCTCTGCTGCTATTTCCATTGCTGCTGTCCATTGAAAAGGTCGTTGTTGCCAACGCTGATGGTGTCCATTGGTCTGTTGTGTGTATTTGGACGACCGTCAGGTCCGCTCGGAAGTGCAGCAGCAGGCGCTACAGGAACTGACGCAAAACCTGCAGGAAAAGTGCTTTGACAAGTGCATTTCGCGCCCGAGTGGCAAGTTGGACGGCAAGCAGCAGAACTGTCTCGCGCTGTGCATCAACCGCTACATTGACACGATGAAAGTGGTCTCGGAGGCGATGGTCCAGCGCGGTCCACAGGTACGGCGACTTGTTGTGCGCAATTGTTACCAGCGTTTGCATGCGACGCTCTGTGTTGAGTACGACCACAGTGCGTGACGTTGTGCTTCTCTCGTGTGTTGCTGGCCGCTTTTCTGCGGAAGGGCTAAGTGGATGGATCGCACGCAGCCTGCGTCGTCGATGGACATTCATCAGTCCGCTGCCAAAAGGACAGCAAAGTGGCGTCTTGCTCTGCTGCCGACTTGCGTCGCAGTTGAGCTGTCTATCAGTCGAGTTGTCGATGTCGCTCGAGAGTGGACAAGTGAGTGCCGCAGGAGAGTAGAAGCGAATAACAACATCGAGACAAACAAGACGGACGCGGTCGTCATGGCCAAACTACTTCGTGCTTGCTCTTTCCTAGACGAGATCTACGTTTGTAGACCGACGACCGACCAGAGACAAAGACAACGCAATCCGACTTGAAGACAACCGACTCCGTAAGCGCCACAATCCCGGTTCAAGCGAGCTCCCGCAAGCACAGCCCATCGTCTTTGCAGACAATGCTTCTTGCACGCACTGCGCTGTCGATCCGACTGCAGCTTTCATGTGGCCAGCTACACGCTCTGCGTCGTGCAGCTCGTCACATATCACACGCTCCACTTAGTTCTTGGCGTCCGCCTGATGCGCCAGCTCCGTCAACGCCATGTCGCCTTCGCCGTGGTGGCGGATGTAGCCAGCGAGCGCGAACGTGTCCGACTCGCCCGTGAAGACGCCGTCCGCGTTCACGCGGCCAACGTTGATCTGCACCGAGGCATTGTCTTTGGCCGCAAGGATGCGGTTGGTCCACGAGCTTCAAGAGGCGACAAGCGACAACAGTTAGTTAGTAAACATCCTCACCATCCCGACTGGCACCACACACGTCGCTCTATTCAGCAGCAGCTCAACTCGGCAGCCTGAGACGCACCACTTGCGCGGGATGTAAATGTCGATCGACTGGCCGGCCTCGTTCTGCATGGTCACTTGTCTGGAGTCGGTGGAATTCCTCAATACAAATCTCTCGGTCCGAGTCGCTGCTGCTTTGCAAGTGGGAAGAGCTCTCGAAACCAATGGCCCGTACGGTAGTGCTCGAGCATACAAACGCCAAGTGCGACTTCGCGCGTGGCGACCCCTCTCCAAGTCGATATCCACATCGACCGACCCACCGCTCGCGCTCTCGACCTGTTTTCGCGAATAGAAATACGTCGCAAAAACACACACACCACTGGCACAATAGAAATCGCGAGTCCGTGTGTACCCACTTTCGGAGCTGCTCGAGCGACGACGACCAGATACAAATGGCCACACCGATCACGGAGCAGCAAGTGGTGGCGACGTACAAAAGTCTGCGGGCTGAGGTGCGGCAGCTGGGCGAGAAGATCGCTGAGCTGGAGGCAGAGTCGACCGAGCACGACCGAGTGATCCAGACGCTGAAGGAGCTGCCGAAGGATCGCAAGGCGTATCGCATGGTGGGTGGCGTGCTGGTCGAGCGGACGGTCGAAGAGGTGTTGCCAGCGGTGGCGTCCAATCGGGACGGCATTGCACAGGTGCTGGCACAGCTGAACGACAGCATAAAGCAGAAGGAGAAGGCGGCCGACGAGTGGCAGCGGAAGTACAACATTCAGGTCCAGCAGTGAGCAGAGACGAGCGAGGGAGCGAGCGAGCGAGCGGGTGGCTGGTGAAGAAGCGAGCGAGCGAGAGAGAGCGAGAGTCTCTGTGGTCTCGTCCGTGGATGAAGCACGTCCTCTCTTGTTGGTGGTAGTGGTGGTACACCGTGGCGTCGACAGAGCACTGGGATGCTATGCCTTGCCACTTGCTTCGGTCAGTGTGTGCATGAGTCGCTTCTTATCAATGGACAAACAAATGGCATATCAGTTAAAAGCTTGAGTGAGTCGCGATTGGAGAGCAAACACATGCGAGTGGTGCTGCACAACATCAATGCGATCGGTACCTGCAATGCCAGATTAATTGCCTTGACCTGCTGATACTTGGCTGTCACGATCTTTAGCTTCTCATCGTATGCAATTTCTTGCTGCTCCACGATCGACGTTAGCGAGCACACGGATTGGTCCTGCACACGACATGACAGTGAGTGCGCGTCATTGGATATGCTCGTCGACCTAACGCACGCACCTTTTGCTTGCACAGCGCTTCGAGCTCCTTCACCCTCGTCACGAGCGACTCGTTTTCTGCATCAGTTTCCCGCTGCGTTCGACCAGAACCATGCTGAGTCTGCCCGCCGTTGGTCGTCCCATCGCCCTTTGCATCATGCATGCCTCCTGCATGTTGTCGATGCACGAGCGCATCTTGAGGCAGCACCAACAGCCGCTCGAGCTCTGTCAGCAGCTCCTCTTGCTGCACTTGCTGCTGCTGTGCCACCTGCACCTTTTCGTCGCGATAAAAGCTCTCCCATTGTCGCAGTCTCTACGAGCAAACCAACAACAGCAACAACAACAACAACAATAGCATCAGCCTCCCCGTCTCTTCTGCCAGACCATACACTGCATCTCTTCATCCCCCACTTGCTGCAGCTCCCTGTTCTCCTGCCGCAGCGTCCACACTTGTTGCGCGTCCATCTGATTCTCCTGCAGCACGCCCTCCAGCTCGATCACGTACTGCACCTGCAGATCCATCTCGCGCTGGTACTGCGCCAGCTTCGCTTCCATCGCCGCGAGTTCTCCCTGCAGCTCCACATTGTGCTCACTCAGGAGCTTGCGGTCGTGCGTGTACTTGGAGATGCGCAGCTGCAGCTCGTGCTCCCACTTGCTCTGCTCCGTCTTGAACGCGTAGAGCTGTGCGCGCTGCGTCTCCATGCGCCGCTGCAGACCCACCGCTAGCTCACGCTCGACCGCCAGCTCCCGTTCGCCCCACCACTTGCGCGCGTGTTCGTGTGCGTCGTCCTGCAGCGCGTCGCCGTCAGGTGGAGCCGTCGATGCAGGTTGCATGTCCGCGTGCGCTTTGTGTTGATGGGCACAAACGAGGGGGTGTATGTCACTCTTTCGAACCACACACACACACACACACACGAGAAGCGCCGTGCTGCTGTTTCGACGCCAGAAAAAGAGCGTTGAATTTTGACCAATAGAGGATCGATGATACCCGGATAGACTCGAGAACAACGCGTCGAGGGACAGGTCCAGCCGGACACTGTCGAGACCAAGTGGATTTTGCCCTCTTGGTGGCGGTTTCTAATGTGGTCCACTTCACACCTCCCCGCCCCTCTCGTCCTCCCGCCGGCCACTTGTGGCCCACCCGCTCGGCTGAAGTAGCAGCAGCAGCAGCAGCAAACCAAAAGATAGACACAAACGAGAACGAGAAAAGAGGAACGGAAGGATGAACCGCTTTGTCGCTGCGCTCCGTCCGCTGTCCCGCGCCGCGGGCCGTGCAGCGTTTCTCCCGCGCGTGTCGCACGTGCGTTTCCTCAGCGCACAGACGTTCCTGGACCGCAACGAGGTGAGCGAGCGCGTGCTGAGCGTCGTCAAGAACTTTGATAAGGTGAAGGCCGACGAGGTCCAAGAAGGCGCCAAGTTCCAGGAGGACCTGGGGCTGGACTCGCTGGACGTCGTGGAGGTGGTGATGGCCATGGAGGAGGAGTTCACGATCGAGATCCCGGACAACGAGTCGGAGAAGCTGCTCACGCCGGCGCAGGTCATTGACTACGTTGCCGCGCACCCGATGGCCAAGTAGAGGCTGAAGACGGACGAGGGGGCGGGTGGAATGGACGCTGCTGTGGGGCTCTGGGGCTCCTGCATGCGCTCTATCTCTCTCTCTCTCTCTCTCTCTCTCTCTGCTGTGGAGTGCGGCGGGTGCTGCGGTGTCTAGTGGGGTGACGCAGCTGCGAGTGGCCGGGGAGAAGGGGACGTAGCTACGTACGTACGTACGTATGGATGTACGTTTGCGTACCCATTCTGGATAGTAGATGGACATGCGGACTGAGGGAGACTGTGTTGGTGTGCAGCACACCGCTGTAGTCATCAGCCGTAAGGAATCAACAAGAACGGAAAGACTTTGAGATTGGGTGCTGTCGCGTATGCGTGTGGATACATTGAGTGGCGCGTGCTGAGATAGCAGTTGCACGTCAAGGAGGTCGACAGGAAGGAAGGGGGCAGCGTATTCGAATGACGCTGTGTCTTTGTAGTTCCGCTAGTGTACCGAATGTCTACGTGCTCATCGTCAATGCACGACCGACTGACCTACCAGCTTTCTGTCAACCTGCGGTCAAGCTGAGTCGCTGGTGCATCGGTATGCTCTGAACATCATCACTGTGCAGTGGCAGCGATGCCGACGGCTCATGGGCAAGTCCGCGAGTTCTTTCACTCTCCCTGCCCCGCCTTACTGCTCGCTGCCCCTCTTTTCTCCGCTTGCAGCCGGGACAAAATGTCGTTGATGTGGTTCTTCACGATAGGTTGCCCCGTTGCCGTGCGCTGACTCAGCTTCACGTGGCGCTTTTTGCGCTGCACGATCTTCTTCTCAGCAGCTGCTGTCCGCTTCTGCTTCTCTTCGCGAGCGTGGCGCTGCTCGGTCTTTGTGATCGCCGCCTTCTTCTTGGCTTTGAAGAAAGGGTCGGGTCTTGCCGTGTGCTTCTTCGCGTCTCGGTCCTGTTGCTGCTGCTGCCTATCGACGCGCGGAGCTTCCACCTGACCCAGCAACCAGCACATGAGCCACGAACGAGACACCAACAGCCGCAGCACACGGGCAACATACCTCCTCCACCTCTTTTCCCTCTACGTCGTCCCCGTCCGCACCACCGCTCTGGAGCTCGCTAAAGAACCTGTCGTAGAACGACGAGCCGGCCGCGCTATCTCCAGCCAACGCGCTGCCTTCGCGCTTCTTCACCTTTGCATACTCGCGCTGACGCTGTGCCTTGTGGATGATGACCTTCTTCTTGCTCTTGGCATCGCTCTTGGTCCGCTGGGACTTGCCCTTGATGAACCGCTCGAGACTCAAGCCACTGCCGCGCATGCTGCTGCTGCTTCCTCCTGCTGCTGGGCCTGTCCTGACCAACCAATCGCAGCTCGATTTTGATTGGTCGACGCCGCCACCGAGTGTACCCATCGACTGCCATCGACTCCAACTAGAACGAATGCGACCTCGACAGCACGACGGTGTGGTCCGACTGCTGGTGCTCTGCTTGGTACGCTGGCATGGCCGCCGTCGCTTGTTTGCACCAGCAGCCGCAGCCGGTGGGACACACGGTTTCGACCTCAAACCACGCGCGAAGGTGCGCGGCGTGGCCGCCGTGGCCGCACGTCATGCAGAACATCGACTGGCCTCGAACCACGAGCTGACACACGGAACAGCGGACTGCAAACTCGCGGCAGCTCGTGCACACGAGATCGCTCGTTTTCTAGACCCAGTGGACACGACCACAAGCACAACGGAACGTCAGCATAGGGAAAACGACGAGGAAAGAAGAGGTGTCCAGTCGTGGCAGACCACACACACATATCCCACACATCCCACGGACACGACAAACGCAATGGCGTACCTCATTGCACGAGCCGCAGATCATCCCCATGGCAATGCCACGTGCGTCTTGCACGCTAGGCGTCTTTTTCTTGAGCACTTCGATGCGCAGGTTCATTGCGCCGTAGCGATAGAGCACGTCTGCGTATGCCTCCTTGTAAACGTCGTACCGCTTCTCGTCGTCGGGATGCGACGACAGCAGACACTTCTCCTCCTCCACCGATCGATAGCTCAGCTGTAGCAACACACGGTCGTTCGCGTCCACTTCTTCTTCTCTCGTACTTGTCCCGACCACGGCATGGCGGGGAGAAGGCGTGGCTGGGCCCACTCTCGGGGACGCCGTCACGACCAGCGAAAGAGCTGGCAATTTCCCACTTGCACTCCGAATCGGAGACTGGAATGTTTCAGCCGTGAGTCGAGGCGGAGACGTGTCTTTGTTCGAGTTCCCGCTCCATGTCTTGAACGGGTTTTCCATGCGGTCAAAGTCCACCTTCCAACCAGTGTGAAGTGTCGGTGCGGACGCCTTGTTCAACGCCTCGCGGTTGACCACATTCAGTCCAAAAGAAGTGCTCATTGTGCGTTCTCGGACGGGGCTCGACTGTCGACTGGATGCAGCACTGCTGTTACCGCTGCTGACTAGCGGCCAGTCCTTCGACCCACAAAACACTGCGTCTCTGTCGACGGAGAGCCCCTGCGAGCGACTTTCAGTGTGGCTACTCGATCGGCGAGTACCTCGCATCACAGGAGGGCCATCACTCGCATCGGCCGTCTTCATTACCGACTGCGCCAGGCAATTCGATGACGAGCGTCTGACACGCAACCTGTTGGCGGAGGTTGCAGTATGACCAGAAACGCCGACGCCCACGCCAGTGTCCACGCCTTTCATGCTCGAGCGTCTGCCCTCGCGCACTACCGGCAGCTGATCTTCCATTGTAATGGCCGAAGGAGTGACCACTCTACAAGTCTCGTCCCACTGTTTCTTGCGCTCGCTTGGCTTCAACGCGCACACAATCGATGCCAGCGCCTGAACATCACCTGTCTGTTCGTACATGTCGAGAACTTTATGCACGAGACGTTTGCCAAGTGGATGGGCACCCCAAGGATGCGACGTTCGAAGCGAGAGTGATGCCGACGAGCTTTTGTCCTTGTAAATGGGGAGCTCCACTTCCGGTGCAGCAGAGATCTCGAGCAAAGACCAAACCTGCTGCAAGTCGCGTCGACCTGCCAGCATCGCAGCATGTGAGTTTTGTGCACACCTTGCAGCTAGTGCGATGCAAGAGTCGTCAAGCACGGCGTCGTCGTCGTCCTTCAGCCCTTTGGCGGCGGCAGTAGTCTCAGTCAACAGAGTCCGTAGTACGTGGCTCAGGTTATTATGTGGTGCGATCCCATGCTTCACAGGCATATTCTCCGCAGCTCGAAGCATCCAGGAGATCATCGAGCGATTGACAGATCCAAGCTGACTCTTTTTGCGTCTCGCCGAAGCACATGCCTTTGACGATACCGCCGATGGAGTCACACCACGTGGCATGAGGTTGGTCTGGTGCGTCAGAATCGAAGACAAGCCACATAGCTTGGACAGATCAAGAATCGTCACGCTGATGCTTAGGTCAAGATTGAGCGCTGGTGCTGCTTGCTCCACACGTTTCAACCGTTCTCCACCGTTTGACCGAACTGATACTCGCGGAGACAGCTGGAGACCAACAGCAGCGCTAGGGGGTATCGAAAAGAGATGCTCCGGGCTGTTGTCGGGTAAATGGTACTCTGTGTTCGAAAAGTACGTGTTCAAGTACTCGGATCCTTGCTGAATGGAAGGGTCCATTTCATTCAGCCCACGCAGCATATCGTCGTTTCCACCTGTGCCCTTACCGGCGGCTGAGGAGTAGTACATTGACGGATGATGATATCCATGAGTCGAGCAAGCGCGATTGTCCGTGTCTTCCCCATATCCGCCCACAACAACGCCGCTGTCAGCCAATTCTTGCGACTGCTGCTGCTGCTGTCCTGCCCAATCGTTCGATACAACGTCCATGGAGCCCATGATATTGGCTGAGGATAGAAGCTGCACCGGTGGCTTCTTGTTTTTCTTGGTTGCAAAACGGGAGTCTCGTAAGTCCAGCAATTCGTCGTAGGTGCGCGGTAGCTTGTTTACAGCCACTGGTGGCTTGCCCTCTTTGCCTGCTGCAACAGCTGTTGGCACTGCGGAGCTGCGAGATTGACCGATTGCCACCCGCGAATCAAACACCAGCAGCATATTGGGCCCGCTGAAAACTGCGCCTGAGATACGTGGACACGGCAGCGCTCTCGCACCGCTCGATCTTGTTGACCGTTCGTTTGTACTCGTCGAATCGTCTGGTCGAGCATCATCTTTTTCCCTCGCAGACAACAATGCTTCGTCTTCTTCGCCCTCTGGACGCAACTGGGTCGTGCATTCTCTGTTAAGCTCTTCTTCGAGCGCAAGGAGGGCTTGCAACGATCTATCGTCGCCACCCAACGTGTACTCCTCCGTACTCAGTGGTACTGCTGACTTTGGCACCACGAGCGGTAGAAAGTCAGTTTTCAAAGCCGACAGGCTGTACTTGGAGTGCTGGGCTCGCATCTCGACAAACTCAGCGTGCAGCAAACGACGAGCATCCGAGTGCAGGCGAGCATTGGTGGTGCTGGTGTTCTCGGAAGGAGCAGCATCTGCGCGATACGACGCTGTGTCGTAGCCACAAGCCTCAAGCTGTGGTACATCTACTTGCCACATGCGCAGCTCTTGGTCTTTCGACCACGACACCAGCTGGTACACACTTGTGGACGGACGACAACGCCACGCCATACCTCTCACTAAATCATTATGACCTGCGAATGAATGCACTAAGTCTGCAGTGACAGACGATGGTGCATTGGCCACGTTTCCGCTATCTCCATTGCCTCGACTATCCCCATCAGCATGCGAAAGTGCCCACAGTCGTATCGTGTTGTCCATTCGTTGCGAGATCGTCACTAGGCCGTCCCCGAATGGCGTGTATTGCGCTCGCCACACTGGCGCCCCTGTATTCAGCGTCCCCTGACAAACGCGGGGCTGTGTCACATTCCAAAACTTGACCGTCTTATCTTCCGAGCACGTCACCAGCTCGTACGTCCGCTCTGGGTGCCAGTCGATGCCATAGATCTTTTGCATATGCGCTGTAATCAGAGCTGCGGGAGCTACCATTCGCCCTGCGCCGACTCGTAAGTCCCAAACCCTCACTTCTCCGTCGTGGGCCGTCGCCAACGACGTCGCATCCACTCGATTCCATTCGACTTGGACTACACTCTTGTTGTAAGCATTCAACGTCTGTATCGGTCTCTGCGGTGACCGCATGTCCCACAACAGCGTCTTTGCATCGGCCGAGCACGTCGCTAGCAGCGAGGGCTCCCTCGGCGACCAGGCAACGTCACTCACTGATCGCGTGTGAGCCCTCAGCGTTGCCACAAGAGGCTGTGCGGTTGTCTGCGAGCCGACCCGGTCGTTCGCGCCCCTGCTGCTCGGCTGACCCTGTTTGTAGCCCCTCGACGCGCCCTGCGCTTGTCCAATGGACGCCACACTTCCCACTGTCTCTATAGCATCGGCAATGTCCCAAATGAGTGTGTTCCGGTTGCTCGAAGAGGCCACGTGGCTCTTGAACAGCGTATGCGGGTTGCACTTGACCACGGCCACCTCGAGCTTCGTCTGGTGGGGCAACGTCGCCCACGGCGCGAACGGCGTCTCAAGGGCCATCACGTGCAGTCCTTTCCGTCCTGCCAGGATAGCCACAGCGCCTGTGGCGTCCACACTGAGCGCGCTGGCGGTCACGTCCAGGCGCACGTGGACATTCCCGTAGATCGTGGAGCTCCCTGCAACGGCAACTGACTCGTCAGGAGCGAGCGACGCACTGGGAGACGTACCTAAGGCACTGGCGATCGTTGCGGGTGCACTTTGCGCGTCGTGCGTCGCGTTGGGAGCGCTGCTGGGGCCGTCAGTGGCGACGAACTTGCGCTGGCGTCGCCGCATGGCGCTGGTCGGGACCGATTGCGATTTGGTCCATCACTGCGTTTTGGATCTGATCAGTCAGTACACAAAAGAGGACCGATGGGGGACTGTTTTGTGACTGCTTTTTTTACGCTCGACTGGCTAAGTGCTCTGTTCGTATTGTGAGAGTTTTCGTCAATGGAGCGCGGCTGGTGCTTTTTTGTGCCCGGACACACATAGTGAACAGCGAATGTGTGCTTTGCCAGGTGCTTGTTAGCTCATTGGTAGAAAAACAATGATGGATCGTGGTGGGTATACGCACCGGCATGGCACTGCATGAGAAAAAGGTCAAGTATACACCCCATTAACCATCGGATACACAAAACCGCGTAAGAAAGTCTGCTCATATCTCCATATGTTCGCTCCCAAAACGTGCCCACTTTTTGCTACTTCTGCCACAGAGCGTGAAGGAAGCTGCCGCGCGCACTTAGCAGCTCGACCAGCCTCGTCTGAAGTAACTGGTAGGACCGCACGACGTTCGCATCCGCCTTGTTCTGACCAGCGCCTCGGGCCACAGTCGACGTCGGTGGCAGCGCGTGCGACGCGAACTGGAGCCCGCCAACCGACGTCTCTAACTCGACCAGTGCCTCGTGCATGCGCTTGAACAGGTTGCGCAGCAAAGACGCAGTGACGGACAGCTGTGCGCTTTTCTTGGCTTTCTTCTTCACGAGAGTGCGCTGGGCGAGGGCTAAGGCGCTGAGCGCAGAGAGACCACAGGTCAGCAGCAGTGACGACAGCGCCGATACAGCGTATGGGGACAGCGCCACCTCCTCGGCCGATGATGACCCGGCACCAGCAAACGCAAAGCCGGCACCCAGAAGCTCCACAATCGATGCAAAGTCCTCCTCGAGGCGCGTGATCTTCGGCGGAAGCTCTCGCTCTTCGTCCACTTGGCTTTGGTCGTCGTTCACTGCAGTCACAATCCGAACGGAAACGGCGATGCTGTCCGAGCTCCATTTCCACAGTCGCTCGTGTAGCTGAAGCTCACCGGTTACGTTACGAAGACGCAGCTGCTCGGTGACGTCGTCGTATTCGGTCATCGCCGCGGTCAGAGTGGACTGGTCATCGCTGGCAAGACTCTTGAGCAGTTTTGGAACCAGCACGCTGAGCTTCAGCCACAACAGTGACGTGTTTGCGTTTGCTGACCGATCGCATTCGACAAGAGGCGCGTCGTCGTGGCTGAAACAGTCGCCGGTCGGCACGCGCTGCTGCGACGTCCAGTCCACGACAACTTCGCGGTGCTGATTGTGCGACAACTCGGCACCATTCGACGCCAGCATATTCTCCAACCCGGTGATCTGAGCACCAAAATCTACCGACGTTACAAGCTCGTAAAGTGCAGCAGGGCCAGCAGCCAAAGAGTCGAGCAACTTGAAGCGCAACGTCTCTCCTTTGCTGATAGCCAACGTGTGTGACTTCTTCATGCGCTTGTGCAGAAACGAAGACATGTCAACCACCTTCGAGTAGACACCGAGTCGATAAGCACGGACAATGTACTCAGGTGTGTCGTGCAAGGTGCTGCGGTGAAGGGCTTCAATTGCATCCGTGAGCTTCTGTGCCTCAGCATACTGGCAAAGGTCAAGCATTTTGTCCAGCACCAAAAACGACAACGAGTCCAGCTGGATATACTTCACATCCAGCTCTGCGTGACGCTTCAGCATCGCCTCCGCAGCACCCAAGTAACCATAGACACGGGACAAGAGGAGCTTCATTTGGAAGTTGTACGCGCTCCTTTCTAGCCCATATTCCAAAAGTCCTGCGGCACGCTTCAGGTATTCGCGATGACCGCTAGATCGCTGATAAATATCCAGCAAAAAGTGCGCTGCAAGCAGTAGCAAGTCGTCCGTGAGCTGCACTTCGCGCTGGCCGCCTGCACTACCAATATTGAGCCAGTTCGTGGCTTCGTACTCGTCCTCAAGCTCCGTTACTAAATGGTTCAGATCGTTGACCGAAAACTTTCCAGGAGTGTCATAGTAGCCCAGGAAGCGGAGTGCCTTCAGCGCAAGCAGGCGCCTGCTCAAGTTGCTTTGCCCATCTTTACGGGTCTTCTCATCCATGTCACCATGTACCGGGTTGTTCTTGAGCAAGCCTGCAGAAATCTTCGACAGCTCGCTAAAGTGCTGGACTAGATTAGATTTCGCAGATGACGACGTCCTCATCTTCAGGTAGAAAGTAAAGTACTGCTTCAAGTCTGTGAAGCAACACGCTTTGGAGTGAAGCCGATCCGCGTAGGCAACAATGAGCGTATGCAGCTTCGTTTCTACCTGCGATACAGCCGCATCTTCCGGCTTTATACGACGCAAGGTTTCGGCACAAACGTGGATCAAAGCGAGAGCAGGGCCTCGAATGCGCTCGTTGTCCGGACGAGACTGCAGCTCGTTCAAGAACCGCGTGATTTCCTCTCCTAGTGCCAGCATTTCCTCCACTGTGCAATCCTTCTTCTCTTCAAATCGTGCAGTGATGTAGTCTTTCAAAAACGTCCAATCATCCGCATTGTACTTTTCCAGCAACTTGCGGTTCGCTGCTGCACACCGAGTCCAGTCTGCCACATTCTTTGCCAATGTCGCTTCGAGAGACAGTCGATCTATAGCCTGCATCGGTCCAAGCTCAATGTCCTCTTCATACGCTCCTTCTCCCTCTGCAGCTCGTCTCAACGTCGTCGATTGCTTTTTCTGCTGCTGCTTTGCCGTTGTGTCGTTGCTGTCTTCCCTCTTGACAAACTCGTCAAAAGCGTCCAGCGCCCCTTGGTGCTTGTCTTGCAGCTGCAGAATCAGCACCGTCAGCTGCAGCGCCTCGCCATCGTCCGACCCCGACACGCGCAACGTCTTGAGCAGCATCTTCTCCGCCAGCGCCAGCATCTGCGATGACGCTCCTTCGTGCTCCACCTGCAACATCATGCCGAGCGCAGCCCAGCACACGTACTTGGTGTTGCCAAAGCACTTGAACATCTTGAGCGCCGTCTGCTGTTGCTTGAGGAACGCCCCGCGTCTCGCGTAGCTCACAAACAGCGACTGGTAGAGCTCTTCGTGGGGCGGATCGCTCGCGCTGCACGCGTACTCGAACGTCGGCAGCATCTCTTGCTCACAGCCCGCGAGCTTAAACACCAAATTCATAGTATTCAGCAGCGTCTCGTCCGTCGGCTGCGTGCGTTGGATCCGGCGGCAGATGGTCAGCGCCTCGTCCCCGCGGCCCGTGCGCTCGAGGCAGTGCGCCTTCAGGACCTGCACAATGTCCAGATCTGCCACACGCTTCTGCGCGCACAGCTTGATCGCGGCCTTGTACTGGCGACCGTCAATGGCCTCGTAGATGGGCCGCACGTACCGCGTCAGGAGCCGCGCGCTGTCGCTGGACATGACGGCTGCTCTCTCTTCGCACGCGTCGATAGGGGAGACGGTGATTCGTCAATATTGTGCAACACTTTTCAACCAATGAGACGCAGTTGTCGCGCCCCACCGCACAAACGCGCCCCACCGCCACCTGCAGCAGCAGCAACTGCCATGTCGAAGCACGTGGCGCACGCGATCCAGTCGCTGTGCCGACGACAGGCGCGCGTCGAGAGCGCACGGCGCCTGTTCTCGTCTGCACCTGCGCCAGGCACGCGAGTCGACAAGTTTGGGGTCCGTGTCGCTCGCCGTTGTCGAGCGATTGGCGAGAGAGAGAGAGAGAGAGAGAGTTCCAGTGCTAACTGATGATTGGCTTGTTATGGTGGTATGGCAATGAGTAGCCCGTCACTTGGAGCGGATTGACACTAGCGGGCGTCGTGAGCAGTGGCGTCGTGTACTATTACTACTCGGAGAAGGACCGGCTGCAGACCCAATGTGCGTATCGACTACGGACCAACGAGTCTGTCGACTGGGTGCGCGGATGTTGGAGACTTGTCACTTATTGTGCTACGTTGTCTTTTCGTTGCTTTTGCTGCTAGCAGCTACGTCCAAGGTGACGTCTGTGGGCAAGCCACTGCTTGGTGGACCCTGGACGCTGGTGGACTGTGACACGAGACGTGCGGTCACAGACGCGTCGTTTCGTGGCAAATACGCGCTGCTGTACTTTGGCTTCACGCACTGCCCCGATATCTGCCCCAATGAGTTGGTGCGCATTGGTGACGTGCTTGACCAGCTAGAGGCTGATAAGTGTCCGGAAGTCGTGCCGCTGTTTGTGACGGTGGACCCGAGACGTGACACCATCAAGCAAATGCAGGTCTACAAGGCCGACTTCCACCCCAAGTTCAAGATGCTCACTGGTACGCAAGATCAGGTCGCTGACATTGCGAAGGCTTATCGCGTCTACTTTTCCAAGGCGGACGAGAACGACGAGGACGAGGACGACTACTTGGTGGACCACTCCATTGTCATGTACCTTGTCGGTCCCGACGGCGAGTTCCTCGACTTTTTCACGCAGGCTGCTCGTGTCGACGACATTGTAGCGAAAATCAAGACGTACATCAAGGCGTAGGACCGAAGCTCGTGCAGCGAATCTTGTTGCAGTGACGGACACAATGCAACGCTTGTTTCAGTGATGTTTGAAGTTTTTGTCGCAGACTGGGTCTTCCAGAGGTCTATCAGTAGACTTAACGTCGTGTCGAGACCAGTCGACCAACGACTACCGCTTGAGGATTCACGAGAGGCGGAAGTCGATCGAAAGATGTCCTTGTCGTCGTGGGCCACGCCCTGTGCACGCAATGTACCAACTCATCTCTGCGCGTCGCTGGCCATCGAGTTCGCATTTTGTGTGCCGTGATGGACCACAGAGTTCAGAGTAGCTACAACTCTCCGTCGCAAGGTCCACGAGCAAGCGCGCATCGTGTCATTGTTCAGGTGCTTGTTGTGCCAGTGCATCATGTAACCGCGCCTCTCTCTTTCGCCGAACAAAATACCACGACGTTGCAAGAATAGCTGGATGAAGCAGAACCAAGTTCCCACCACCATAACAACGACTTCCTTTTGTTCTACACTTCGACGGGTATCGCTTATTTTCTGGCATCTCACTCAATACACCGCAGCCGTTTCGCACTGTCGATACTGGTCAACAAAGCAGCAAAGTGCCTGTCCTCTCACTTTGTCTGTGCCAATTGGTACCAATTGCTAGTGCAGACAAACCAAAGTGCAAAAAGTTTCCATCACATGTGGTGTACACGTCTGAATGATGCAACTAGCAGCTACACGCGGTAATTGGTCTCTTCCGAGGAAGTAGCTCCGCCTTATTGACAACGGCTTGCCGGGAAGAAACGGGTTGTGTATGCGTTCTCTATCAACGAAACGACAGCGATGGGGAGCCAGTGTTTGCGCTCTCCACTAGATTTGCCTCGTGAGCAACCCCGGTGCACTCAGAGGCTAAAGCAAGTGGTTGTGTATCGGCGCACACATCGTCCGCTACCATGAGCGGCGGGCTACCATCAGGATTGCTGTGGTCCAGAGCCCAAGCCTGGGGATCGTGTGGCATTTGCTGAGTCCCGTACTTGGAATGCGGATCCGGCAGTCCAAAGTCGCCACTCGCGTAAGGTATAACTCCGCTATCCTACACGCCCGGAGCAGTGCGTAGTTCGCCGTTGAGAGCCACACGTCCCTTGCCACCTACATTCCGTGAAGTCGTTCTCACCTTGGGCCCCATCTTGTCAAAGCGGCCGTTCTTCTCTGCTAAATTTGCCATAAGGAACAGAATACGAGCTCGAACTTGCCCGGTTGCGGCTCTTGCCTTTCCGTCGCTTTCCAGCTGTTCGACATCTACTTTCACGCCTTCTGGCGCTGGAGAACGTTTGCTGCAGCTTAGCAAGTCAGTGTGCCCACTGCATCATTTGGAACAGCGCAAGGACGCAGTTGGGATGTCGCTTGTGCTAGTTTTTGCATCGAAGCGTCAGCTTGCGACGCTGGACGTTTTAGCACTTGATTGTCGATAAACTAAGCTGAACTTCCAGTCCTTCCTACAGTCAGTCAACCAGCCACGTGAGCATCAGAGCTTTGTCATGTAGGGCTACAAAGTACGTCGGTGTGACTGGAACGAAACATGCGACTTACAGATCCACTCGTTCTGAGACCACAGGGGCAACAGACTGATCGGCGCGATCGCACGAAGTCGAGACGTGGCGATAGAGTGAGAGAAGACGGCTTCAAAGGAAGAGAGAGAGAGAGACATGACTGTCTTATTTCCCATTATAATCATGTGCAAGGTGTCTGAAAACGCCTGAGCGAGGTATACAGCGCCGGGTGTGGCTGAGGTTCGTGGCAGTCCGCCAGAGGAGCGAGTCGCCGCTAGGATCTAGGGAAACCAGTAGGAGGCAGGCGTGTGAACGAGCTCCTTGGACCACGGAAGCGGCGCGTCTGTGCTTACGCTGGACGAACGCACGGAGTTGCCGTTAGCCTGCCGTCTAGAAGCGGTAGACGTCGTGGACTGCACGCCTCGAAACACGGTGTCGTTGCGCTCCCACCATAAACGTGTGACGCAAATTGAGCTCATGAGAAACCATATCTTTTCCCAAGCCCGTTCCCTCGGCTCGACATCGTCTTGAATCTCACGATTAGCCGATCCCCCATGAGATCCAATACCGCCGGAGCTTTACGAATCGCACAGTTATCGAAGCGACTGGAACCCGCTAGTCGGAGGTCAGTAGCTCGCGTCCGGAGACGGAGCAATTTGCCTCGACACTTGCGCACTTCGTAATATAGTCCCAAAAATGTGCCGCGAAGTTTCTGTCAACCCGTGTCACGTCGGAAGGGCACGGCAACTTTTGCCAGTAGGACGCTGAGCATGAAAGTCAGCTGCTTTGTGGCGGCTCAGGGGGAATCGTAAAAAACATATGTGTTCGCCTAAAAAATAGTGCTACGGTTAGGCTATCCATTAACCTTATTTGATATATACCAAAAAGGGGAAAGAAAATACCACTTTCAATTGACCTTCGTTAAAACGTTTCTAAGATAAGTCGGACACTCCGCTTTTAAAACGCACTGCAGTCTTCAGTTGCGAGACGACGGCTCCTGCAACGGCGCAGGTGGGAGCCAAGGGCGTGACGGCAACATCGGCAGCGACGATTCCTGAACCGGTGGAACCTGCTGCGCTTGGAAAATCAGCGGCCTCGGACGCGACACTGTCTGCAGAGGCGGGATTGGCTGCGTCGTCGAGTTTGAGAGCGAAAGGTAAGATGGCGGCGGTATGTCCAACTGCGCGAGTCGCGATGGCGGCACTTGCAACAGATCAGACGGTATTAACGCGTCTTTGTCTTGAATAGGCTCAATCATCGCACGAGAGGGACACTGAAGCCGATCGTGGCCAATCCCAAGACAATGGTTGCAGGTGTTGCGAGCTAAATATATTTAGTGCTGCCATTGAAATCTCTTTTATCTGTATTTACATTCTTTACACATCCATTCGTTGCTAATCTGGACATTTGACGCTCTCCTTAGCATTACGTCGGCAAGGTCATGTCTCCTCGGCATCATCTATTGGAGTCAACAAAAGTATTCTAATGATGACTTTGTGGTGAAGTCGATCTCACAAAATTACTTGTGTGAGGGTCGATCTTCCACTTGCCCAGACTTGCCGACTCACGGAGGGGGTACTCCGATCCGTGCCTTGCTGTATAACCTTGTGCTCACCTTGTGTACCCGTCGGTTGGGCTGGCTTGAGCTCTTCGTAATGGCCTTGGGAGATGTCGATCTCGCTGAGGGTTTGGGTTGAGAGTTCGCTTCCGGTGCGGAAATCTTCACACCACGAACGGGGTTCTGTGATCTTGATCTTGAGTCGCGGCGATCTTGTGGCAAAGTCACTAATCAAATTTTCTACGAGGATCGGTGACCACATATTTGAGGCGCCACTTACTGGTGGAGAATTAGACCACGGGACCTGGCGATCCAATGAGAGATGGGAGGCGATCCCGACGGAGAAAGACGATACGATCCAACTGTCGTCAGACTGACGGGTATGGAACGATCTGAGACGGGGCGTGAAAAGGGATGATTCCCATGCTGCGATCTGGGACAAGGAATGATTGTAACGGTGCGATCTGGGACAAGGGACTGGATTGTACTAAACGGCTGATCTGAAGCAGAATTACTCTGGGAAAGGTGCATCTGGGACCAGACGATGCGAAGTGACTCTGTGACAACGGTGTTGAAGTCTATTAGATCGGTGACATTCTATACCGGGCTCCCAAAAGAAGTACTGATTTAGGTTAATTATGGACCGATCTGGAATTGTGGATGTTTGTGGGAGTCCGTGGGACCGTTGTAAGAACTATGGATGGTCCCATTGAGCAGATAGACCCTTGGGAATGGTATTGGAGTACACACAATGAACGGAAACGACATATAGGGCCGGATCGCACTGTGTCGAGCCTACTCGATCTCGAATTGGACGTCAGATCGGTCATGTTCCCTGCTGGTTATGGACATATCGATGATGGAGCTATCGTATGATGATGTACATGCTCGTTGAAGGTCTATGAGAGATGTCCCAAAAGTTCAGACCGAAAGAGCCAGTGGAAGCCGGTCGAATGGACGTCGCAAAATGGATTTAAACACATTCGGCATTTGGATACTATTTTGGACTTTTCGATATCAAAATTGGGTATTTGGTACCGTATTTGGAATTTGGTCCTTTTTGGTGTCTAGGTACGATATCGGGAGTATTGGCGCTATCTTTGGAGCACAGGTCACGAGATTTCGACACGTGTTCAAGGGGGCGGTCAAGCTTAAAGGTGATATCGACTTGGACAGTGACCTACGGTTGGGAATAGGCTTAATGATAGGTCGGATATTAATTTGGTTGGTTAATAAACAGACTTGAACTCTACTTCTTCTGCTCACGACGCACGTTCCCCTCCCCTCTTCTCCGGGCAAGATTGATTTGGCTTCCCCGGCGGGTCAAGGCGCGCGTGTTACAAGGACACAGAAGACCGATCTTGGATTGTTGGCCAAGATCGAGAAGAGCGATCTCGGGATATTTGGCCCGGATCGATCAAGTACTCACACTCAACTCAACTGCTAGGGTAGCAGCAACATCAGGAAAAGGAAAAGGAAATTGGTTACAAGATCGCGAGGCAGCTCAAGTGGTCAGAAGATCTGGACAAGGAGTTCAAGACAAGACCAAGCAAGACCGAAGCGATCTACAGGGCAGATCGGCACGTTTCGTTTTGGCGGAACAAGCAACCGATCCACCCATATTGCGCACTTCTGGCAAGATCGGCCGATCCCGAGACTAGATCGGACCGATCCCAACGCAAGATCGACGCAAGACAACTATTTGCTGAGTGAAGATTTCCGCACAGCGAAGACCCCGATCCCGAAGACAAATCGAGATCGGTGTGATTCAAGATCGAGATCGCGACATCGCCCAAGAGTGACTGCCGCGACTCAAGATCAAGATCGCAGAACCCCGTTCGTGGTGTGAAGATTTCCGCACCGGAAGCGAACTCTCAACCCCAAACCCTCAGCGAGATCGACATCTCCCAAGGCCATTACGAA